ACACGAAAAGAACGGCACTCGGTGGCCAGTTGGGCTTGTGCGAACGGTGGCCGGATGTCCGCGGATCATTTGACCGGAAACTGAAAGTTCGCGCATCGGCGTAATCGAGTCGGCTGGCCGCACGTTAATCACGCTGCAATCGGCCGCATCCTACGTACCGAACGTGAATGCCCCACCGATAATGCTTCGGTCGCATGCTGCGCTAAATTTTCCTGAAACGGCTACGGGGAAAATCGACGCGCACTCTTTCCTTAACTTTTTTTATTTTCAACCTACGCGAAACCGTTTTACCACATTTTATAGTCCCGCAGTATCTCGAACGGTCGAACAAAACACAAAAGGGTGCTAATGGCACATCGTATCGTCTCGTGGACTCATGCGATTCCACTCAACCGTTTTAGAACTCATACGGCATACAACAAGATCTTCTATTTGACGCTTTCTCTGCCGTGTCAATTATTCGGAATTATTTGCTGAAACGTGAAAATTAATTTTCACGCTGATCTATCACTATTTCGACGATTTCGTTTTTGATCCGCAACACGTATGAACGCTCAAAAAGTGATCAATATCGTACAACTTTATTCTTGTGATCCGAATTTGATCGAACGAATTTTTGAGGTTGCCGCCGGTCAATGTGTTAACACATTGTTGACCGGCAATTTTACAACGTCCGGGCATGAGAACACGAGCTAACTCGTGGCCGGTCAACAATGCGTTAAGAAATATGTACGATTAGGTACATTTTCTTGTGTCGCGCGAATCGTGCAACAAATTCGTCGGGACGAGTTCCGAACGGGCAACGCGAAAGAAAGCGCTTGTTTTAAAAAGTATCGAATATGCTATTCGCCGAATGTGCTATCGTATCGTACCGCTGTGCGCCAGTGCTCTGTTCATCCTTCTCGGAATACGGCGCGCGTGTACTCCCGTTTATTTCTTACGAGGAAACCTCGTGCGAGATAAGATGAGAAAACTGGGATAAAGGAAGAGGGAAACACGTCGCCGGAATCAATGAAATAAAACCGAGGGACGAGCCGTGACGCGCGGCTAAACACCTCGGCTTCCGCGTGGCTAATACATACATACATATAACCGATCTCCGCCGCGGCTAGCATCAAGTATTAATATTTTATCGTTTCCCAGGAAGCTTATTCTATTTTCAGCCAGGCATTTCCTAATTTCACCACGCTCTTCTGGCTAGACGAACGCCATTGCTCGGTTATTGGCGATTCGATTGTAGGGCCGTGGCACGTGTCGGAAGCGAGGAATCGGTTTAAATCTCTCTCTCTCTCTCTCTCTCTCTCACAGAGAATTTTTAAAACGAGAAACTCTCTCTAGCTTCTTATAGCGATTTAAAGGTGCACTCCGAATACTGCAAGTGCCACCAACGCAGTTTCTATCAGAAAGAAAGCCGTTCCGAAGACCGTCACGGTTTCTCGTCCTTCGGCCTCCGCTAAATTGAAAACGGTTCGTAGATCCAATACGGAAAAAGAAACGGGTCGTGACTTCGTTGGCTACCACGCCACCGGGAGGATAGTCGGTGTATTAAGCAGAGGCTACTTCCGTTGTAATCGGAATTCCATTTATACTTCGTTGAGGAGCGTCGGACCGTGTAAATCGTCGGGACGAACACCGTTAGCGGTGCATTGTCAGTGACCGGTTGCCGACTATTGGCCGCGACTCGGAGCCGTCGGAGGTAGCTATCAGTTCTAGCGGAAGAAACGAGGAAGAAGTATCCTCGACAAGTTCCCGCCGGATCCTGTGGCAACGTTGTCCGTCGAGTCGCGAGTTTCCAACCAGCAATCGTCGTGCAAATCCCGTAAAATTACAGAATCTTATCCGGCTAAATGAACGTAATGAAAATTATAAATTTATTGTATGTACTTAGACCGAGACACGATTAAAACTGCTACAGACATAAATGGAAATAAGGCGATCATTTTAGACTCCAAGGTTACTTCAAAGTCATACTTATGTATAATACACGTACGAATGCACGATTACCAGATGATGCGTATTAACTACCGGAAGCCTATCGGCGAGATTTTTAACGATCATGTTGTATGAAAAAAAAAAGTATCTTCTCCCCTGCGAGGAGTAATCATTTCTGAAGGTAGTATTACCGGGGACGACTCGTTTGAAATTAGTTGAAAATCTGTTGAAACGTCGCCGGAAGGTACCGCGATAAAATGAGGTCGACGGGTAAGGCAGAGTTGTCTGCGAACGCGAACGCTCGGGTAGAATTCGGCGGAAACGACGAAAGGAATTAGCGGTCTGGCTGACCGTAGAATTTCGTGGAACGGGATATAGTCAACTCGGTTAGATCCGTTTCCTGATTACCCGCGGGGCCGGTCTCAGGGCGATCGCGAGCAGCGACGAGGGTGGACGAGAGAGTGTTCCGTCGGTGTCGTTTTACAAAACGATACGCACACCTACTTTTACTGGAATACGTCATAACGCGGTTGCCGGGCTACGTGCCGCCGCCGCGTAGCGATTTATCAGCCGGTATAAATAAACGGCCGGAGCGGTTCGAGCCAATTCATGAATGACTGACTACTGCCCCTGCCGCGCAGATCCTCCCGTTTTCTCCAGCCACCGACGTGCACGGTTATCCAACTTTTTCCATTCTCGAATCCTCCCCCCACCCCTTTCTTGCTCCTTAACCTTTTAGGTACGGCTGAATTCTACGCGAGGCTATTTCTCTGGACGGCAGAGTCTGATACTGTATATTCTGTCTGTATATACAGGGTGTCCCAAAAATGTCTCGCAATCCGAAAGTGGCGAATTCCTCGGGCCCTTTGAAGCAATTTTTTCCTGTACAAAAATTTTCTCCGAGGCACCGTTAACGAGTTATTAACGAAAAACAGTGACCAATGAGAGGCGAGCTCGGCTGGCGCGAGGCGATCGAGCCAATGAGCGGAACTGGGCTTCGTGCGCTGTTTGGCTGGGTCGCCTCGCGTCAGCCGTACTCGATTCTTATTGATCACTGTTTTTCGTTAATAACTCGATAACGGTGCCCCAGAGAACATTTTTGTAAAGGAAGAAGTTGCTTCAAATGACCCGAGGAACCCGCCATTTCCGGATTGCGAGACATTTTTGGGACACCCTGTAGACTGTTGTAAATCGATGCGAAGACAAAAGAAGTGTGAAACAATGCATACGAAGACGATTATTTGGTTCAAACGATGAGCGAGTGAGCTACTAGAGCAAGCTACTATAGTGGCGCGTCGGGCCTAAAAGGTTAAACTACCTCAAGGTAACCGATTCTTGGGAAACAGTTGATCTCAAAAGCTTGGGATTTTTATAGCAATGTGAACATCTTTGAAATGAAATTCGAAGATTCTTCAGACTCGGCATAAAGAATTAATATGGTCGTGTGATTTATTTGCGACTACAGGTGCTAGACACGCTTCTGTCAAGGGCTCAACTGTGGAACCAATGAAAACGAAGTGTTTCAGATTTGTCGAATGCCTAGTAGTAGCCAAATGAAAGTGGTAACGTGTGCAAAATTACATTCGGGGAATCGTACGACAGGCCTACTCGAATTCAAGTACATTTTTCCCGAGTGTTCGAACAGTTCCGGTTGGAACAATATTAAAACACGATAAGGCTTCAGCGAATACCTTTGTTTCGTATCGCACGTAATCAGCGTTATTATTATTATTGCATCCGGTCTCGTGCTGAAAAACAATGAAATCTACGCCGAACACCTATATAGAGACACTACAGTTTGTGTAGAAAGTAATTTTCGTGATCTAACATTGTTGTGACTCGCGAGTTGTCTTCGCACAATGATTTTGTAGATTTTATGCTTCTCGATCTCTATTTGCTCTACTATAGAATTAAAAAAAAATGATTACTTCGCTGACAAATATATCGTATAAATAGTACAAAAGACTTATGATACAAAAATGGCGTCGAAATAGCTACCATAAATTTTTGTTCAAAGATCAAAAGTACCCTGTTAATATGATCTTTCGATTAATAGAAAACATTAGTCCTGAAAAGGGTTAACCTGTTAGACTGGTAAACGTACACTATCATCCAAAAGTATCCGACCACTTTGGTGGTCTTACGATACTAACTTAACCCAATCATCCATCCATTTTCACCGATTCCCTTCTTCTCTATATTTCTTAGATCCTAATTGCTCTTCTAATAACTCCTCTAATTTTGTATTCTTTGGTTTGTTCTAGCTTGCCTTCGTTCTGTTCCTTTGTAGTCTCCCAGGCCATGCTAAGGTCCTTTTGTCCAGCCTCCCACTCACTACCTCTTCTATCATGATACTTCTATTAGCTTCTTTTCAGCCCCTTACTATAGATGTTCAAAATTCCCAATCTTCGCATAAGTTCTAGCTTATTCTTTTTCCAATTCTCCAATATTTGTTCCAGATTTCTATAACGTGCGAATATTAGCAAATATCGGAAGCATGTACTTGTCGCTGCTTGTGGACGACAGTGCACGTACGTTGTGCACGGTGAAACGAAAGTTAAGAATTCGAGTCTACGTCGCTTAATAAAGTAGAAAGATCTCGTGATATCTCGCCTTGCTGGATGGGGATCCGTAAAAATTTGAAATTCCTATCCGCGCAGAGTTTCGCGATGCCAATTTTGAGGCGGCCTGTACCCGAGTCAGCGCATGAAACAGAACACTTCCGGCCGACGAAATACGTTTCGCATACGGCGTCAGCTGCACACGAGCCGACACGTCCCGGTTTTCGGTCGCACGATAGGTAGGTAATGTCAATATCAATGGGAGACGCGCAGCCGTTTTTAGGTTAGGTGTGCGCACGTGCGAGTCCGCAACAGCGCGCGTTTATTATTCGTCTTTACGCACACGACGACGTCAGGGTCGCGAAACGCACGCGGCCACACCGTTCGAATAAGAGAAAGAGAGAGAGAGACAGGTGTGTCCTGTTTACGGGATCGTAACCGGAGGAAACGAGACGCGAACCGGAAGTCGAGAGGGAAAGAACGGGTGGTTGAGTGGCGGGTACGCACCTGATCCCGAAGCTCTCCTTCCAGAACTCGGCCGCGTCCGCCTTGGTGATGCGAAACTTGTGCCCGGCGAAGACCCCGTTCGGGAATATCGCCTTCAGCTCGGACAGCATGTGGCTGAATACGAGGCTGAGCTTGGTCAGGTTCCGACGATAATGCGACGTCTCGTCGAACATCTTCTCCTTGCCCTCTTTGAACAGCTTGATCGCCTGTTTACACTTTCGCATCAGGTTGTTGATGAACACGCAGAAGTGCTCGTTGCTGTGCAACATCTGCATTCGGTCCTCGTACTTGCTGTAAATCAGCCTGAGCCGCTGATACGTGTCGGGCAGAATGTCTAGGATGAACGGGGGGGAATTTTTCAGGTTCATTCGCTGGTGTTGACACAGTTTCACCACCTTGTCCATCAGCTTCCAGGTCTTATCCAGCATTCGCTTGTCAGTGGAGAGTTTCGACATTGTCATCGGGTCCGCGAACCGACCGTGAAGCTTTTGAAAGATCGAGCCTATATGCACCGCTCTGGTACGACTGCCGTGTCCTCCTGACGACATCTTGACGTGCGCGTGCATATCCCCTCGACACCGGGACTCCCCTGGCGGTGGTGTGGTGCTCACCTTCGGTCGCGAGTCCCCGCGCACTCGTTTTTCCACACTCACACCTTCGCAGAAGAACCACCAACAAACAAGCCTCGCTTAGGTTAGCCTGGCCTGCACTCCCGCGATGCGATATACCGCATTTCCTCTCAGCGAGACGCGTCCACTATCTCGACGACCTTCTCACCAAGTCCCCGACCACCGGACGTACCATAATGTTACGCGATACCGCATCCTAGTCCAGCTACACACCGTACTGACAACAGCGGACAGCCACAACGAATCGACACTGACACACGGGCCAAGTGTGCCCGTGCTTCGTTCGTTATGGTTCCAAGAATGGTCGCGTGACGCTTGGCGACGCTGCTATTGCGCGGAAAATTCAAACGTCTACTTCTCGAATTACAGAGAACTGATGAACCCCGCGAAATCGTTCGAGTTCTTTTACTCGTCGCCAAATTATGTATAGTATGATAAACATTTCGAGGGTCTAGTGCTATTTTCGAATACAAATGATTTTAACTTCGAGAAGATCGTCAGAAACTAAGGATTTCTCAGGAATTGGACTCTAATAGTTGATGTTTAGGGTTTAATGTTTAAGATTCATACTATTAGATGTTTATAACCTTTTTGTCAAGATTCTAGCTAAAATTTTTCAAAATAAACCTCCTTTAGACGCATGTGTTGGTTACAACGACCAATGCATAGTACAACAGACTGTAGCTTATAAAACTTATTTTCTAAGGTTAGCTAACTTTGAGTATACTTTGTATTATTAGGGATTATACTCTGTGAATATATTAATTAAAGGTAGAAAGATGTTGTTACAAGACGAACGTGTATTTCTGTGTACGCTGTTATAATACAATGATCTCAAGTAATATACATACAAATTGTTTTACGAGGTAACAAAGACGTCGAAATACAAAAAGAAAATGGGGACGTAAAAATCAGATAAATATCGCACTCATTATCGATACTTTAATAGGACCTAACTTCCATAAACTTATAGATGTAAAAAAATTATTTGTAAAAACTTACACCTGTACAGTGAACATCGACAATAATGCTTTGCGAAATATCACGTTATCTTGCAATGAAGAGATGATAAAATACAGTGCCAGTTTTGAATTATTATGTGTGCATGTCAGTGCCTAATACTTTAGTTTTTTTTTTCAATTTTTATTCGAAATGAGTTTAATTGTCGAAGAGTCGCTTCGTCAATCTGCATTTCTTTTAATTTATCCTACCTTGGTGCTTCCATGCCAAGCTTGACCGGAAGTATAAGTGATTCTATCGCAACGAAGCGGTTTCTTGTACTAGTTCTTTCTTTTGAAATTGCATAATTGTTAACCGTATTTTGGACTACTATCGTTGATTAAGTTTTTCTTGCCAGTTACACAGATATCTGCGCTTTCAATGAAAACGTAGGCTATCTGCCATCTAACAGAGCCTGAGCTTCGATCACCTGAACGTGCTGTCACCGACTTTCTACGTAATAACTTAATCGTAACAAGACAAAGCTTGTCATCAAGAACCAACTCGCAGGGATTGACGCCAAAACACAATATCTCTCATCTGAAACAGTACAGAGAAATTTCAGTACAAATACATAAGATAGAAAGTAAAAATCATGCATGCATCAATCAAAAACCACAATATAGGTACTCATGGAAGGAAATGATAGGAATTATTTTATTTATTACATACTATTTGATTCTTTCACATGGAGTTTCGCAACAAATAGCACATTTATCATTTTATTTGCAACGATATGTGAATACACGCAACATGCAATTACAAAAGCTACCTAACTTATCTGGAATAATATTGAGTATGGAAGCACAATGGAGGAAGAGGTGGACAGGGACAGTTTTGCAAGCTCTAAGAGTTCGATTAACCCTTTCGCTGTTCTGCCCGTTCGTCGTAGGGGCAAAGCATTCGGGACCTCACTGTTTTGTTTTTTATTAAACAGCAAAAGCGTTAAACCTGCAACCATAGGGGATACATAGGATTTTACCTGTCATTCTTTCAGATTTCTTAATCTCAACCCATCCTAAACTCCTTTCGACTGCCATCTTCCATTTCTTGTATCTAGCATCCCTCTCTATAAGAAGCAAACAATAAATAAAGTTATCAAAAATTTGGGTACCTAATACTGATTTCAATCAATACTGGCGTCACCTTCTGGTGTCGTGGTCGGCAAGAACGTATCCGTTGGTACAGTCTCAACTCCCTCTGCTGATTCTAGTTCCCAGACACCAATGCCCTCAGCATTACCCGCTGCCATTGCCGCTCCTAAGGCAGTGATGTCCGGCATAGTTGACCTAACTGTTAACAGCACCCAATTAACGTATAATCCAATTTACTTGTAGGTACACAGTGCTTTAAACATACTTACATACTGGTGTACCACAAAGATCTGCTTGCAATTGCATAAGAACGTTATTCGTTGTCATTTTGCCGTCCGTATGCAACTTGGTCGGTGGAAAGCCGCAGTCTTTGTACATAGCTTCTAAAATATCTCTGGTCTGGAAGCAGACCGATTCCAACGATGCTCTAACTATGTGCTGCTTCGTGGTAAACGCGGTGAGACCGCAAATAATTCTAAATCACACGAACATTTTCGGCTTGAAACATTTGAAGGTACATGCACTACCAATGTCAGAACATAATAGCTACCCTCTAGCATCTTTTCTCCAATATGGAGCGTATAAACCCGTAAAAGCGGGCACGAAGTATACATCTCCGGTGGTGAAAACGGTTTCAGCCATATTTTCGCTCTCGCGGACATCCTTTATAATCTTCATGTTGTCGCGCAACCATTTTATGGCTGCCCCTGCCACTGCAACCGACCCTTCCAACGCATAAACCGCAGGACTTTTCGGGCCGAACTGGTACGCCACAGTCGTGACCAATCCGTGAGAAGAATACACCCTCTAAAATATACTTTTTACAAATCAAAACTGTCTCGACACATTTTACTCTTTCGTAATTCTATTTCAAGGAAATACCAACCGTTGTTCCAGTATTACACAACAAAAAACACCCGCTCCTGTAAGTGTTCTTAGCTTGACCTTTCTTCAAACAGTTTTGCCCAACCAACGCTGCTTGCTGATTACCTAAAATCTAAAAGAACATACGATTGTACTTCGAACCAGCATCGTGACCGCAAAAGTTTCTGGATCGAACGCGACCCTGACCCCTGACCGATAAAATCCCGCAACCCCGACCTCAAAGTTAACTAGAGCTTACAGCCGATATGGGGATGCCCTTCAGCGGATCGATCGCTATGGTCCCGTAAATTTCGGAGCTGCTCCTGATCTCTGGCAGCATCGGCATGGGTATATCGAAGTACCTGCACAACGTGGGATCCCACGACAGTGTCTCTATGTTCATCAGCATGGTCCTCGAGGCGTTGGTCACGTCGGTGATGTATAATCCGCCATCTTTGCCGCCGGTTAAATTCTACAACCATACGACGAGTTAAAAACTCTCCAGTTTCTTACCAAAAGATCTATGAAAACAAGAATTTGCATAAAGTTCCGCGGTCCAATCGTCCAATCTCTCTTGCTAACAGAAGACGAGTGTACATATTCTACAGAACTCTTCGACGTACCCATACGATCCAGGTGTCCATGGTGCCCACTTTGCACCGCTGGTCCCATATTGCTTTTCTAACGGCGGTGACATTCTCCTTCATCCAGCGGATTTTCAACGCAGAGAAATAACTGCTGACCGGTAGACCGCATAGTGGCTTTATATGGTTCTTACTTTGATCCGGGAACTTGGCGATTATCTGATCGGCGATCGAGACGGTCCTGATGTCGGACCATACTGTAACAACGGTACCAATAAGCCGGGGACTACACTATCGAAAATTTCCTCTCGTTGACATTACCTATCGCGTTATATAATGGCTCGCCAGTGTTCGCGTCCCACGCGATAGTCGTTTCCCTCTGGTTTGCGATACCGATCGTCACGATGTCCTCCACTTTCAGGCTGCGGGCCTCCAACTTTTTCACGACGTCCTTGATGCACGCCTTCACCGCGAACAACACCTCCCTCGGATCTTGCTCCACCCATCCTTCGCGAGGGTTGATTTCTTCTATATCTATCTGGTGGGAGACTATCTCTGTCACCTGCTTCGCCTTGAACACCTGTACGACAAGTCAAGCTATTGTACAAATTCGCCGACTCGTCGGTAAATTGAACTCTTGCCTAGGCACAGTCATGTTTTCTCTAACAATTTGTCCATCTAATTAAGTATTCGATTACGTTGGTGCATGATTGAAGTCATTATTATCAAATTAGCGAGGATACTGATATACAATTTCGACATCGCGAAGCTTTAAACTATGCGCTTTGTTTCTCACGCAAGGATTTCTCTCGGGAGCAGGTAAGCCGCTATTACAGACGAACCTCGGGCAACCGGTGTGTTTGTAATAACGGAGAGAATGAATCGTTCTCGAATCGCTATCGCATGACAACTGCATAACTGTAGTTTAAGTATGACGCGTGTTTATGCGAACGCGGAACGTAAACACGTAATGAAATCAACACCTACTGACTTTACGATTTACCATTTCGTCATCCATCGGATTGTCTCTCGGTTGTTCTTACAGATTTGCCGGCGGATTTTAATTGCAATTTCTATTTACACAGTCTCGGACAGGGGTTCCTCTTTATTTACCGTTCGGTGTATGTGTTTAATAATTTGCATATCCAAGTATAACGGTGACTCACCGCAAAGCGTACGGTTCGCGTGCCGACATCAATTACTCCGATAAGGGGGCCTGGCCTCTTCGACGAGCCCGACATTGCGTCTGAAAGATAAATGTTGTGTTACGCATTATTCTTCGACACACTCGTGTTTACGAATTTCGCGGGACCGAACATAGCCTTGTATGTACTCGCACGATGTCCCGAAGACAGCGATCTAACAGCTCGGACCATATTCCAGTACTTCGTCGAGAGCCTGCTCTGCTTTCATTATGCTTTTTTTCCTCTTTATCGCGCTTCATTACAATCGTCGGCGATCCGCGATCTTGCCGCAATAACGACGAGATAAGGCTCGCGACGATCGCTCACAACAGGAAGCGCTGTCCCTGCTCGACAGTTAAACATGTCGCCAACACTCGATTAAGTTCGAACGAATAATTCCAGCAGTGCACGCGCCTTTGTCGAACGAGTCGCGAGTTGGCGACAGCCACGAAATCGAGCATCGAATGTTTGCACATCTACGGTTCATTTGGAACGTGACTCTTTCATCGTAACGTGGAGAAACTTTAACCCCTTGACATACCATTCTCTTCGCAGTTACTGCGATTGGAGATTTTTCGACTACCATAATTTCTTAGATTGGGAAAGAAAATTGATGCTTATTGTGTGCCTGAATTTACTTGAATGCTTAAATATTGATGACAAGAGATTAGAATTTTATTCAAATTTTAATGGACAGAATAACGTATATACTCAATAAGTTATTATTAGAAATTTTCATGACGAGTCGGACTCGTCAAAGTACGGCAAGGGGTTAAGATGGACTTAACACGTTGAACGCCACGCCGGTTTTACAGAAATTGTCCGTGGCGCCACGATGAATTTTCTTTTATGCGATACATATAATGTTGAAATATTATCTGCAACAGATAAGTTACAGTGTATAACCATGTTTGACATGTTCATTGCGACAGGGGTCACTGTTTGAATCGACGATGGTAATAATACAAAATTTTAGATATTGACATTTGTTTGAAATTATATATATTTCTATCAATTTAGGCGCGCCGGTCACCGGTGGCCCCCATGGCGTCACCGCCAAGTTAAGTGCCGGTCACCGGTGACCCCCGTGGCATTCAACGTGTTAAGCCACTTCTAAAGTGAACATATCGAAAGCAGTAGGATAAAAATTGTAATTTATCATTTACAGCGTCATTTGAGGATCTTCGTTTCTTTTTTCTCGGCGCGATCGAAGTTTAAAGATTTCTCGTGTTTGATCCGCGAGAGCCTTCGCGTTGATCGAACTAAAGTCGAAACTGTATGGTCGCAATTTATAGCTCCGAGCACAGTAATTCCAAGCAAGCTTCACGGATGAGTGAAACGAGTTTCATTAAGTCCAACAATTACAGCGAACCAATAACAATAAATCTAGTGCTTGTTTGCCATTCGTAAAAACGTTGGACGTCGATCGGACTTCTAAACAGATTATGATCCGCGGAGACGCTGGTAGCGTTCATTAAAATACTTTTATCTCGGCATTATATTGGTGTCTTAAAATAACCGACATAATCTTTGGATCGCAGTCCCGTCGAGACATTATGGACCAATCTGGAAAAAAACACGATACCAGGAAACCGATCGAAAGAATTGTGTAACATGCACATAGATATTACGTTGCGGATAAGTGCAATTGCGATGCGACACAAACATGCATCCTTCATAATATCTCTGTTGGTTTTCGCGACATCTTTGACTGCATTAAGACTCTTGCTAGTGTACACAGAGCAAACTATCTTTTAATCTAAGCAAACGTAAAATTGTTAGGTTTACCCGTAGCTCTAGCTTAATTATTTTGAACTATTCTTTTAATAACATATTCGATCCGTGAACTATTCTCTTGATAACATACTCGATTCGTGACCTCAGTACTCTTTTTTCCCACTACATTCGTTCATTCGTTCATTCACGATTCATCATAAGAACATAATCTCCCGTGCGTTCAGATCTTTGGGATTTATCCATAAGACGTCTCGATTTTTCAAAGATACGAGAACTCTAAAGCTAATTGTATTGTGGCTTATAATTTGGCCTCGTGTTATCGCTATTCCCATATTATCTCTCTGCAAAGAGCTCAGCATAAATTCTTTCACTCAGTGGCTTGGCGCATGGTTAGAACCCTGTCTCTCTATTCAGAAGGAAATTCACCGATATTTTATTCGTTAAGAAAGTTTTAACTGCTTGATATGTAAATATTTATATTAACCAACAACGTTCATATGTACGCCAATCTTCTCGATAATTCGTCTTCCGTGCTCGAATCACATCTCTACGTAATATTTCTACTTCAGTTTAGTCTCTCACTATAATATGCACTATTTAGCTAACGGGCTTCTTTCAGTCGTAAATAAATAAATAAATAAATAAATAAATAAATAAATAAATAAATAAATAAATAAATAAATAAATAAATAAATGCAACGCTACAAAATTTCAGCGCAAAATATTCAGTTGAATCGTTGGAATAAAAATGCAGTGTTAAAACGTTACGAAGAGGATAAAATGAATCGTGTCGGATATTTACCTTCTGTTGCCCACTGTGCAGGTAAAAACGCTGTTAATTGCGGGAGAGGAACACCCGGGGTGTTTCACGAGCTCTATTTAACGCGTTAAGAGTCACTCATCCGAGAAATTGTTCGCCAATTATCCGCCAAAGCTTTTCCCACTAACCTACCACGGATATTGAGCAGGCCTGACGCTGCCACTTCAACCGTGTCCTTTCCCCGTCGCAACGATAGCCTATCTCCTCCTGTCAGGAAATCCCCGGTCGCCAATGCGAAGAGACTTTGGTGCAGTTTGCGATCTTCCCAAGTCAAGCTAACCAAATCTCGTAGACGCGACGAGCGAACGAAGCGCGAAAATCCCGATAAATCCGTTAAGTTCCAATAACCGAGATACTTGGAGAACTTCGAAGGACTTCGCCGGAGGCTGTCGCGAAACTTTTTGCGCGTGGTGGATTCGACGACCCCGATAAGTTATGTCGCAGAATTCGCCGCCGTGGGGACCGATGACTCGTGTTCGCGGCACGTTCCGAAGTCGTTGATCAATCGATCCTAGTAAAACCGAGTTCGACGCGAGAAAAACAACGTTTAACCGGCTTTTTGAATCGGACTACGGTCAAGCATGCGTTTCATACAGATGGAACGCGATTCGTCTACGCTCATTTGGAGGCTCGTGGCTCATTATTCCCCCACTCTCTTCTCTCTAGATACTGACATTGCTGACACAAAATCAGAGATAAGTGAATGCTCGGGACGAGCCTGCCGATGTTACGGTTACGATTATTACATGCGATTTCTCCTCGAACAAAAAAGATAGCAAAAAACAAAACCTCGAACAAAAAACCAGAGCCTCTCTATGGCAACAACACGTGGACGTAAAAACATATTTGGAAAAACTGGCTCGGGGTGTGATGCAAGTTGATCACGAGCAAAAATGATTTGTCACGAATATGCAAAGTCAATCCGAGGTTTATCTGTCCGTCGAGAACAGGTTGCATAAGACGAGTTTCGTGTTTGATCTCCCACTCGATGTCGTGTAATACATATAGCGTTGAGTAATCCCAGGAATGTCTGAAAGTTTACGTCGTTGTCGAAACCGGATTACAACGAAAGTCATGCGACTCTACTCTTTTTCAGCAACAAGTTACGCTTTACAAGCTCAGCCCGTAACGTCTTTAACACTTTAAGTGGGAAACCTGCGAGGTCTGCGTAAGGTTCTTTAAAACGAAATTTTTTGACAATATAACTCTGTTTACAGCAACAGCTGTAAATCTTCATCCGTGTTTAAATAATGTTCATCCGTGTTTGCTTGTAAATCATTCGCGTCCAAGTCACTTACCTAAACGACTTTATAATTTAACGGCGATTCCGAGGCGCCACTAAAAATTGGCATACAATAACTCGAAGCAATTGATTTCACATTGTTAAATAATTAAGCGCCTGAGATAAAGGAAGTCTTATTTCGAGCGGAAAAGATCACACGTCCTTGTGAAAGCGTTCGATTTTATTCATTTTATGTTGCTAAGTATAAAAATGGGCAAAAAATGTTGCTAAGGAATTTAAGCATACCACGAGTATGCATTTCTTCTGTGTTGGACGAAATGTGCAGATCCTGTCAAATTTCTGGGTTTCGGAGTCAGGATAGCTTCGAGTGCAAAGAATTGACAAAATTTCTGGATATGCAGTGTCTACGGAATCGAAAGAGTTCTCAAACTAAACCGGAAATTGGCTGTGCAATATAGGAGGCCCGCGGCGTTCGCCTAGTTTTAAAAAGTTGAAGAGGAAAATCGATGCGACGGTTCGAACGGGAGAAGGAAAGAGAGAAGATGCGAGGAGAATAGAGCGAGGAGTCCTGGTCGCGATGAGTTATGTAACTTGATTCGACGATGACGCGTCACACGAAGAAAAAGAGAGTCCTTCGTGGGACGTGTAAGCGCCTAGCGCTCGATAATGACGCACCGCGACTGTAAATACGGACGAGCCTCCGCAGGCCGACCAATCCGTCCTCGTCCCGTTGTCACGTTCTGCAGGCTCTCTCATGATGCATTCTATCGAAAGACGGCTCAGATTGCGCTCCAACGTGCGCGCACACACACACGCCGTAGAACACGTGCGTCTTAATGAATCGTGACCGCATATGCGCACGTTTTACTCGCACAATTTCGATTGGCGCCTGGAAATCGACGGTCGAATGCGCGAGATCGATGAAAGAAAGCGTCTCGATTGTTTTGAAAAAGTTAGACGGTATCATTTCGACATCTTTAAACCTTAGAATTTCGGCGAGATTAACCCTAAGCGCTCCACGCGTTTCTCGAGTACCACTTACCAGCAACTCCGGCACGTTTTTGGAGCAAAGCGCCTGAGATAAAGGCAGTCTTATTTTCAGCGGAGAAGATTACACGTCCTTGTGAAAGCGTTCGATTTTATTCATTTTATGTTGCTAAGTATAAAAATGGGCAAAAAATGTTTTAATCGTAACGGTACACACGCTAAGCACGTTTTCGCTACAAATAACAATTGCCAACGTCGACAAAAACGTAGCATCT